AGAGAGAGAGAGAGAGAAGAGATATGATCGTTTACGTTCCCGGCAGAATGCCAAGGCACGTCGAGGCCGCGGCTCGTCTCGGGGCCTACCAACCGGGCTACTACGGGCGGCAGCTGCTGCTGGTGCGGCCCGCCCTGAGCTGTCCGCCATCGCCGCCGTCCACGCCGCCCCAGCAGCTGCTCGCCAGGACGACCTGGCCCCACGGCATGCCCCACGACGAGGAGATGCTCGGCGTCACGGGCCAACACCATGGGCCGGTGGTCGTCGACGGGCCCCCGAGTCCAGCCCACAGTGACTCGGACGCCTCGAGTTCCAGCCTCGAGCTCGGCTCCCTCAGAACTGGCGAGCACGCTCAACTCAAGTGCAGGTGAGTTCGACTTTAATAATCTCCGACCGCTGATCGTGCCCAGTAACCGGCATCCTTGCCCAGGGTGCTAGCCTCGCGCTCCCCCCCGGACGACTGGCGGCACTCATCGCTACAAAGTCGCTCGCAACGCCCGAGGCCACCACGTACGCCTACTTTCCTTTAAATGCTTATGGCCCATTACGCATGCGCCTCGTCAAATCTCATACACTTACTTACGAACGGAGCGAACGTGTGAACGAACGAACGAACGAACGAACGAACGAACGAACAAACGATTCCCTCGATGTTATTATTGTTATTGTTTGCGCATTACAAAAGTAATCTTCTATTTGCTGCGGCGGAAAGATTTATGTTCGATATATTTGTTTTTCACTGACGGCGATAAGCATTTTTCGGAAAATATTAATATCTCGCGCTGATATTATAAGAATGAACGCTCGCGCCTAATTAGGCTCGTTCAAATTTTTCAAACGCACCGCTGCGTCTATGAGACGTTATTCGAGTTTCATTATAACATTGCAATTTCAATGCTACGGAACAATCCTCGCAATCGAAGCGACTCTGCTGTTCGTCATGAAAATTGTACACAAAGCAATTAAAGCGTCATGGACAAAAAAAAAAAGTATAGCCAATTAACGATAGCCCCCGTACACCTTTGAATTGTTATCAATGGCACTCCCAGGTGGTGGTGGTGGTGATCCCAGCTTCGGCGCTAGCGTTTCCGCACCGAACCTGGCCACTGGCCACGTCCAAATGCCAAATACGAGACGCTCGTGGCTCGTTTCATCCTCGTTTGTCCATCGCATTTGTCTCGCGGTGATGTGAAAGGCGACGAACGTCGAGCATAGGGAACGAGTCGTCGTTCCGACGAGGATGATGGATAAGGGACGACGATTTGATTGACGCGCGTAATAACTCCAGCGACGACATTTCCAAGTTCTTCTTCGGCCACTCTACCGCACTCGTTTTAAATTCTTAAAATCCCAGAGCATAGAAAGTCTATTTATTAATGCTTCGTCTCGTTATCGTCGCGCAGACGCGCAATAATGAGATATTCAATAATAAAATGATTATCCGCGGATCCTGGCGTTACATCGAATTGTCCACTTGTTAATTGATACTCAATGATTAAATTAAAAATGACGATTTTCATTGGCGCCTTGTGTGGGAGTAGGAGTAGGAGTAGGAGTAGGAGTAGGAAGTGAAGAAGAAGGAGGAGGAGGAGGAGGAGGGGGGGGGGTTGCAAGTTGTATCATAAAACACTGGGATGGCCATTGTGTCGGCACTCTAACCTACGGCATCGTCTTAAATGCCATGCAAATAACGATTAAACGATTTGCGTGAATAATGCGAGTAGGCAAACTGTTTATGACAATTTTACATGAAATTTTGACATTCATTTGGCACGATATGACCGATCGAATAACGAGGAAAATTCGCAATCGAAATTTGATTTATCGGGCGATGAAGACATCGCGAGCGTTAGATTAATTTTTCTATTTAGCTTAATAGATGATAGATATGTGCTAATGTAAACATCGCGTGGACGATGGCGTGTACGTAATCTACAAGTTGAAAAAATTTTCCCAAGAAGATAAAACTTATTTAATTTAGCGATTCGGTTAATGCACGATTTTTCATATATACGACGACGGGGAGCTTAATCGATAGAATCGGGGGAATTAAATCAACGTTAATTAAAATAACCACTTTAGCCGGAGTTATGACATTAGAAATTCCAGTGCAGCGCAAGTTGTACGTGATAAATTTCGGTAACGCGTATCTTTTATATACATAGATGATAACAAGAGATTTATATCAATTGTATTAAAATCCAGGCAGAATTATTTTAACAAGCGAGTTTCCATGTTATATCACGGCGACCACATATGTGCGGTTCTACACGTCTGAGCTTATTCCTTACAGACCGCATATGTGTGGTCCTGACAGCCAAGTGGTTAATGATAAAATCACCTTTCTCTCTTAAATATACTTTTAGAAATATTGCTGTATGATGCAACAACACTCTGTTGAAAAAATAAGCAAACAAAATGAAAAGAAAAAAACAAGTTTCTCTCTCTCTCTCCACTCTTAATGAACAATCAAGAAACACATTGAAAAAATGCAAATAAATTTTTTTGATACTTAAATTTCTTTTTAATAATTAATCATAATCATTGACAATAATCAATCAACTAAATAATCGATCGTAAAAAGAAAGCTGGGATCATCATACATACGCGAGTATAACGATTGTCTCAATTTCTATTTAAGGAGAGAGAAGAAGAATGGAACATATCACTCTACCGATGCGCTAAGTATGTAAAGCTATGGCTTTTTGCCAAATTGCAATTTGCTTTTATTACTCTCCCATTCATTCATCCATTCCTTTAATCATTCGGCAACAATAAACATTTTGAAAGACTTGCGCTCGCCCCACGCAAAGCTCACATAATGATTCGTACATATTGGCGTATAAATTCTTTCAATAATGGCGGGATCGTCGATTAAAGACGATAATTTCGGTAATTGCGCGTAACGCGACGCTCGGCTCTTTATGCTCCTGCCAAAGCTACGTCCTCCAGGACTTAACGGGAATCCGCGATGAGCTCGTCATTGCTGGCGAGAACGAGAGTAATGTCGAGATAATAAGGGCCAATGGTAATGGCAATGATCCTTCGCGCGCATCGACAAAAGTAGTCGGCCAATCATATACCAGTCACCGTGGCTAAAATCTCTTTCCCATCCTTCCAACGTCATCATTAGCAATATAATGCGTCGCTGTCGTAAAATGTCGCGTTACTCACAAAGGCAAACAATAAAAGCAGAGCACACATGGTAATGGAACATCGGCGTCGTCGGTATCCTAAGAATGCCAAATGCCTCCGAGTACTCGTCCTCGGCTCCTGCACGGCATAAATGATTCAGCTCGGCAGTAAATGGGGTCCCCTACCCGATCGAAACTCGCGTCGAGCGTGGAAAATGGGCGCCCGAGGCTGCCTCCCGAAAAAGAAAAGACCTCGGCGCAGCGGCGCGTTATCGCTTTTCGGCAGGCACAGCCTTACGTAGCGCCGCGGCCATAATACAAGCGCGCGCGCTCACACACACACACACACACACGCGCGCGCACGCGCGCACATACACACGCGCGCGCTCGCGCGGGATAACGTAACCGTAGCGTGGTCGTCGCATGCACGCGGCGGTCACGTGTATGGCTTTGTCAGGCGCGTATCACGTCGCGCCTCGGAGAGCAAGTGGTCGACGATGACGAGGATAGGGAACGCTAGAGGTAGTCGAGATAGAAGCCGAGGAAGAAGGAGTCGCGGCGGATGCTTTATCTTATCGACGGTGGAGATTTGACTGGTTATAGCGGGCGCGCTGTGACTCCTGGCTCGACGTGCCACGCGTAATCGCGTCCGAAACCCTCCGCCGACTAGAGCCCCCCCCGATGATCCTACGGAGGTGGAGAGTGGCCATGGCTCAGTCCCTGCAATAATTGGCTTTAAATTGACTCGAGGAACTCGAGGAGCGACCTTGGTGTAGCAAGGGACTACGGCCGGGTCGTCACGGGCCAATAATAGTCAATGTTCTCTGACGTTGAAAAATAGTTGGTTGAGGAGTGATTGAGTGGCCGGTGACGACGTCGATCTATATAACGATGATCTTTGCGAATGTTGTTATTGGCGAGGGGAGCGGAGGGGGTAGAAGTTCCCGAACGATAGTTGATGGTGGTTGTTTGTGCTTATTCGCTCATGTCCAACATTATTTCACGGCAAGTGTCGATCGATGCCCACGGTATACCGAAAAACTGCAGTTCCGCCAAATTTCAGATACGAATTAGCGATAAAGGTAAATGTAAACGGCCGTGCACTGGTGCAGCATCTGTGTGCGCGCGTGTGTGTGCACGTAGGTGCGCATCCGCTTTTATGCGTGCGGGAACACGCGTACTTTTCGAGAAAGTATAAGCGCAAATTTCACATTGTCTGAATTTCAGATGTAAAATAATACTTTGGCAAACATTCTAATGCAGTCGAACTAATCACGATACGATGTGGCAAATCAATCTTATCATAATTTATGGGCCCAAAGTGTCATGTACGCACTTGCCTTGCAGATATCGTTGAGAAGGAAGGTAGCTCTTTGTCGAATAATTCTTGTAAAATAAATGGTAATTCGCCGGTATTATGCGCCAAAGGAATTTCTAGTTCTTACAATAACCCGTTGCTTTTGTACAAAAGAACTTTTTTCATCTTTTTCTTTTCTTTACTTTTTTTTTTTCTTTTAAGAATTCCTCGCTGCTGAAATATTCCACTTTTGCAGGCATTACTTCTTTACGAGCGCACTCACTCGTTTTTTCATTTTTTTTTCTACATTTTTTTTATTCTTTTTTTATTTTTTTTATTTATTTTTTTTTTTATTTTTAGTTTTTTGTTTGATTCTTTCTTCTAAATAATGAGTATCTTTTGCGCTACAATAACATAACGCTTGCGACGATTATTATCGAACGAAAGCAATGTACTCTTGACATAGATTAAGCGTGTTTATCGTGTTATAATAATAACGTTTATAGAAGAGAATGACGAAGGAAGAGAAGAGAATTCCTTGAAAGGTAGCGCGCTTATCGTTGGAAATACGGGGACACGTTTTATTTGCGCGAAATCGTAATTATTCTACTTATTGCACATGGATGTAATTTAAGGTACTCGTAGCTGGTCAACGCAAGCGAAGGAAAGTCTCGATAATCGAAATTCCAATACCGACGAATATTATCTCAATTTGGGTAAAGTATCGCCCGTTCGGTTAAAATAAATCGTTGTATCGTGTCATTTGTTAAATCAAGTAGATAATGCGCCCTTTAGCACAAAATACGTACAATCGAATGATAAAGAAAACAAAAAATAAAAAAACTGTGTGGGTGGGTAGGTGATGGGATGGGATGGGATTTGGTGGGTGGTGGATGGACGGGGAGGGGTCGGTGATGCAAGAGGTGTGTGGGAGAGGGGGGTGGGGGATAGACGAATGCTAAAATAAAAGAGGAGGGGAAGAAAAATACCGAGCCGCAGCTCGAGAAGAAAAGAAATCCTTTATGTGGTGATGGGCTTGCTTGACCGTGCGAGGGAACCGGTCCGTGCGAACCAGGATATTCCGTAATGCTAGACCTCTGATTTTCAGGTGGCAAAATTGCGGCAGGTGGTTTACGTCTCTGGAACGACTGGCGGAACACGTCGGCAGGTTGCACGCGGCCCCCGGCCCTAGGGGTCTCTTCTACTGCGGCTGGGAGGGATGCCAGAGGGGCGAGCGTGGCTTCAATGCAAGGTAAGCGATCCCCTTATCTCGACCGGCTCTAATTGCCCCTTGAAGCCGCCCCTCCGCAATCGCGAGAGCATCGCCTCGCGTGCTCGTCGTAGGAGTGGGCCGCCCCGAGGGGCAATCGCGCCCAAGGAACACCTCGCTCCTACCCCTTCTCTTCGTAACCCCCCTCCCCGTTCCGCTCCCGTCCTAGACCACCCACTGGTCCCTCACGCCACCGTCGTCTCATCGTCATCCTGCTCACTTGATCGTAGGTACAAAATGCTGGTGCACGTGCGCACCCACACGAACGAGAAGCCGCACCACTGCTTCCAGTGCGACAAAAGCTTCAGCCGCGCAGAGAACCTCAAGATCCACGCGCGCTCCCACACGGGCGAACGGCCTTACGTTTGCCCGGTCGAGGGCTGCAACAAGGCTTACTCCAACTCGTCGGACCGCTTCAAGCACACGCGCACCCACGCGGTCGACAAGCCCTACTGCTGCAAGATCCCGGGTTGCCCCAAGAGGTACACCGATCCCTCCTCACTGCGCAAGCACGTGAAAACCTACAGGCACTACGTCAACAACAACGACAAACTCCAGGAGAAGAGCCTCGACGATGCCCCCGTGAGCCTGGCTGCACCACCGAGCCTACCCCTCGTCAGCAAGCCGGCGACACTCGAAACCACGCCGGAGAAAAGGGCCGCCGTCAGCCCGAGGTCCGACTCTGATAAGAAGGACTCGAGCCTCGAGAGCAACACCACCAGCATCTCCGTCTGCTCGCTTGGGTACGTCACCCTCGATTATTTAATCGTCCCCGTAACCGGTATACCTACCCGGTCCCCGATTTATGCTAATTCATTGAACTTAACAACGAGCGTAATGAAAGAGCCGTTGCACCGGCCCAAGTACCCGCGAAACAAATTGCCCGAAACCCAATTATTACGGAACGAATTGTGAATGTTACGCTTCTTTCCATTATTTTCATTTATTTCGTCCTCGCGATTTTAGCTACTAAAGCTTATTAAAACTCATTAGTTTTACCCTGACGAGTACCGTATGTTAATAAAGTGGATAAAGTTTTCGGCGCAAACGAATCGAGACGCCGGCTAATTTAAGTACCACGAAACAAGTATCCACCCACGCGACACGCGTTCGTCCCGTCCCCCGTCCCCCTCATTCTTATCTCGACAATAGACGGATACGCTCCAACGTGAGATTACATTGTCGTTGTTGTGTTAAGCAGCGAGAGCCCGAAAGTCGCCTCCTCGTTGACGAGCTTCGAAGATCAGCAAAAGTTCGTCGAATGGAACAACGTATACAACATGCAGGAGCGCAAGGAGCACCAGGACGCCCAGACCACGGCGTCGTCCTCGTCCTCCCTCTCCCTCTCACTGTCCTCGTCCAAGAGTAGCTACGAGCACGAGCTCCATCCCGGCCGCTACAGCCGCTCCTCCATCTACGACGAGTACATCCTGCCGGACTTACACATTCCGAGCTTGAGCCAGCAGCCGCCGACCTACCCCGTAGACCTGAAGCCGTACGTGCCGGCCTCGCCACCCGATCACCTCCTCGCGACGACGCCGCGCATGGGCATGCAGTCGACCCCGATCAAGAGCGAGGATAAGGCCAGCGGCGTCGACTACAGGAACATCGAGTCGATTGTCAACAGCAGCAGCAGCAGCGCCAGCACCTGCAGCAGCGGCACACCGCTCAAAAAGGACTTGCCGCCTACGACGGTCGGCTGCTACGTCACCGGCGACATCGTTAGGAATTCCGTTATAAAGCGCGCCGATGCCCAACAGCAACATCATCATCAGCAACAGCAGCAGCACCAGCAACAGCAGCAACAGCAACAGCAACAGCAGCAACAGCAACACCACCACCACCACCACCACCATCATCAACACCCGCATCCGCACCCGCACCCGCACCCGCACCCGCACCCGCACCCGCACCCACTCGCTGTACAGCCGGAGATGGCTCCGACAACCGGCAGCGCCGCCGTCGAATGTTGTTGCCGCCACAAGTGCTGTCGTCACGCCGACAGCGACAGCATCCTCGAGAAGACCAAAATCCTCTCGGAACTCATACTAAAGTCCCAGAATCCTCTGTTCCGGCACTTGCTCGCCTCGGCCGACCTCCAATACGGCCTGCAGAATATGTGGTCCGGCCATCATCAATCCAGCCTGCCCGAGTCGACGATCACTGGGAGTGGCGGCGGTGGCAGCACCTGCGCTCAGGACCTGAGGGCCAAATCCGGCGAGAGTTTGCCCACGGACATGGAGCAGGACCTGCCCCTCGATCTGACAATCAACAAATGACCTCGACGTTACTTTGTTTTATTGTTCGGTTATCCTGTCATCCGCTGAGTGATTTACAATTTTGGTGTAGTCACGTAAGAGTTATGTGGTTAGCAAAGATCAGCCTATATGTGTCTAATCGGACGCGCAGCGATATTACACTACGCCCAACTGGATTCCTATTAATCGTCCTCGTTGTTTTTGTTGTTGTAATGTTGGATGTAATATGGGAGACGATTTGGCTCGATGCGCTATCGAAGCAAGCAATTATCGAATAGAAAACTGCAGAAAATATTTGCTTCCCTTTAATCGTATGGAAGTTCCTAAGTTTGACAATGTTTAGCTGTCCAAACGAAAATATGTAGCCCCTATCTTTTGTAATATAGCAATCAAGTTCGATATGTCGGGAACTGAATTCATAATTGAGCGTAAATGTAATTATTATTATAGTTGTACAATATCAAAATACTATTGAGTGAATATTTGAAATGTCAACTAAATTGGCTTTTTGCGATAAAAATAATGGACTTTAATTTGTACAGTTACTTGCCCTGATACACGACATTACGATCATAATTGTGATTTTGTTATATAACAGTGTAATTGTCCATTGCTATAATAGATTATAAAATAATCTTGAAGTAGATACATTGGAACATGCCAAATGACCGCTCAATGGTCGATAAATTAGTTATTTTTTTTTTTTTTTTTTTTTTTTTTTTTTTTTTACATTTCAACCATTCATTAAATATTGACCCTTCAAATATCGAACGTTCAAGTAGCTTCAAAATACACCAAACTCCTAGGGATGTCCACCTGCATATTCAGGAGAATAAAAATATGTTCTAGCCAATAACAGCATTGATAAATGTAGAGAGGTTTTTATATTTTGGATTTGGATATTTTTTTTCTTTATTTTTCTTTTTATGATATACTTATTGTGCCAAATAGTAATAAAAGAAACCTCATCTTTCTAAATTAAATTACGACCATCTTTAAGAAGGCATCTCTCCTCTCTGTCTCTCTCTCTCTCTCTCCATCTATCAATATATCTTTCCCGTTTCCAACTCCCTCCTCTCGTTATTTTACACTCGTTTTATATTAATCGTTTGGTACTACTAGCACGAAGAAGGTTTTTAAATAATATAATATCCTTTTCTAAAATGTTAACAATTCAATAATATTATCAGGACTAAAAAAAAGAAGAAAAAAACATTTTAAGCCACTGCTAAATATTAAAAAGAATTTCCTTAGCCTAGAACAAAAGTTTAAACAAATAATCTTCTTCCATCTTTTTGTACTTCTTAATTATACACTTTAATTTTTAAAGAATAATGAGATGTACTACTATTTTGTCATTATTGGCTATAAGTATTTCCTTTGTTATATTTTTTAGATTTTTTTCATTATAGGAACATCAAAGATATATTTAGTAATAATCCTAATACCTTTCTTTCTTTCTTTCTCTCTCTCTCTCTCTTTATCATCCTGGATAAATGGTTAAATTAATTCAATTCAAAGTCTTCCCAATTATTTTGTGTGATAATGCATAATACTTTCAAACAGTGAACGATATTTGGAAATAACAACATTCAATTACTTCCTAATTTCCTCGTTTCTCGTCTAAACACTCACAAATTTTATGATGAAATTTCCGACAAATACACATGTAGAAATTGTTAGCAGCTACTTTCAATATATGCACTTTGTTAATATTAACTATTCGTTATCAATGGTAGAAACAGAACAAAAAATCTACCTTTCAATAATGCTAAGTTAACAACGTCGACCTCACTTTATTTACACGTAATTAATAGCGTATTCGTTTAATAACATGTAAAAACGTAAAAGATCGACGCGTCGTTTCCGATTAGACTGTAAAAAAGCCAAATATTACAATCTAGTGTGTGAACTACTGTATCTCTGAAAAGTCGAGCAGCACGTTTGTCGCCGCTCATTTGACTCACCATTTTATTATATTATTATTGTAATTTTTTTTATTTTATTTTATTTTTTTCTTCTTAACGTTATTCGCTTTCTCAGGGGGTATACAATAATTACTTATCTATCCTTCAATACGGATCGCCGAATGTGCGCGACTATGTTTTATAGAGTCGCTTGCTTGAGAATGAGTATGTGAAAAGGTGAGAGAGATAAGAGAAATTCTTGCGGCTTTGTCACTCAATCGACGTATACGGAATATAAATATTGTATGTTGTGTGCGTATACTCGTGCGTGTTACGCGAGCGCGCGCGCGTGTATTGAAAAAAAAAAAAGATAATAAATACTCGTTGATTGATAAACAAAAGTTGAAAAATATTATTGGTCGGAACTACCAAATTGAAGTTGATCTTAATTTGATAGTTAGAGAACCTATTGTGCTAGATTTGTTATACTTGAAAAGAAAATCACAATTTTGTACTAAAAATAGGCACGACACCGAGACGAATGATAATGATGATATTTATCTCAGTGCCGTTCTTAGAGTGAGTGGGTGAAAGCATGTATATAGATATATCTGTATATGAGAGTATTCGAAAGTAGCCATGAGAAATGGAAAAAGTGCCTTATTATTATCTGGAAAAAAAAACCAACTAAACTATATCATTTTGTTCAATAAAAAAGCATTATTTATATATATTCATTGTATGTGCGTTCAAACTTATTATCCTATTGGTTTAAGCCTACATTTATTTTCCATATAAATCATATTTCAAATATCATCGTTGAGACCAGTAATCGAGTATTCGAGAGAATTAAAAATAATGCCATAAAAATTTTATATAAATAATTTTTAATAACTTGGCAATCCATCTTTGTTACGAAAATTATAATAGCAATAATAATAATAATAATAATAGTAATAATAAATTAAGTGTATGCGATTCATGAGATAGAGCCATGGCTGGTCAAAAGTTCTGACATTCCGTCTTTGATAATCTTCAAACCTTCCAAATCTGTATTGACCGTATCAATCAGTTGTCGCATTCCTTGTTGTTCCATATTTAAGTACTAAAATAAAGTAATTTAATCAATAATAAATAATGTCATAATTACGTTCTGATAAATGGCTTGATCAAGCTAAGAATCATCGAATTCAACAAAACAACTGTAGTTGAAAATTCATCGAACGTGCATTTACATTTTTAAAATAATAATACGTATGAAATATTTAATCTTACTGATTTTATATCGTCTTGAGCTATGGGATCCATAGTATACCTTTCCTGGCATTGGGTATCTGTATGTCTTCTCATTCTTAATTGAGACAACATTTCACTAATTCTACCTTTAAATTGTGTTGGGGCACTAATCTGCGAGTGCATTGCCTCAAACCTATTGGTTAAAGTTTCTTCCTCTGGTTGCAATGAAAAACCAATTTTTCTAGTTATTTCTTGACGTACTATAACCTAGATAAATAGTTAATACATAATAATATAGTCACGCTACATTAATTATTATCATATTTTTTTTGTATAATTTATCACAATGAAAATATTTTTGTCATGAAAATATTTTATTCGTCCGTGTCTATCTTTAAATTCGACGTAAACATTTAACGATCGTTGAAAAATCATCTTTTTAAAATGAAATAAATTAAAAGCTTTCATCATTTATTAATATCAAATGCATCTTCGTCTTAGATGAATTATTAATTTATAAATTTCAATTTAATTTTATAAGATTTAAACTCGAAACATTATTGGAATTTATAAAGAAAAAAATTTCCAAGTTCGTTCCATTAACATGAGAATTCTCTACTGACTCTGTTTTATCATATGTTTTATAATCGAAAGTATATTTTATAAATATTTTTATTAAAAATATACACCAAGAATGATTAAGAATTTGCTGAGAACGAAAATTTTTTTTTTTAAAGTGCATAGATAAGGTATTAAATGAAATTGAAATTACTTGAAGGACTCTATGTTGAAGCTCCAAAAGCGTTCTTCTATGCTCTTTTAGTCTCGCTTGTGTCGCTGTATGTTGCCTCTGTAAACCTTGAATACTGTCGGCTGCCAAGTCGAGGAAAGCTCGATGCCTCGAAGTCTCTTCTTCTTGACATTTCAATCTATGTTTCACCTGTTGAAAGCCAATCATCGGCACAGGGATATAGTGCTCTGGATTAGGATTGTCCAGTTGTGCTTGCTTCCATAATCGAGGATCTATCGAGCACGGCGGATTATCCATATATTCCTTGAGTTGCGATGGATCTAATTTAACTTGAGGATATATATTCTCCACTCCTATTTGCGTCAATTGTTGTTTTTGCATGCTTTGCGTCAAGTAAGCAAATAATTCATTTGCAGGAATTTTTCTAAGGGATCCTGTAACACCTTTTTCTGTAACAAATATTGTCACTTGACCTTTTGACTCCCCTTGAGACTTTATATTATCTATAGTTACAGTAAGATTAGTTTTATTGCCCAAAATTTGACTGAGCGATGATATTATCTGTTGCCTTCCATCCTTTAATTCTTGTTCTTTCTTTGCAAAGCAAAGTACTACTAAGCCATCATTGTTATCAGCTTCAGGCATTCGACTATATCCTATAGCCTTAAAACGGCACAGTGGATTCTCTTGATTTAGTTCTATCGGCGGTGCATTTGTAGAATAATAAGCCTTCCCTGTACCCCATAATGCTTGAATTAAATTCCATCTCGCCATAGTATTATCCCTCTCGTCATTAAACAACTGACAATTAAAAACTGCATTATATAAAGCTTCCGATATAGTGTTTACATTCGGTTGAATTTGCTGCTGCTGTTGTTGCTGCTGCTGCTGCTGCTGTCCTTGTTGTGGTTGTGTCAAACCCGTTCCAAAACTAGAAAATCCTAAACATTGATGTTATAATTTAATAATTTGGTAATGATGATACTTTTAAGTTCGACTGTCTGTATGCATTATAAACGTTGTATCGAAATTACCACCAGTGCCAAAACCTCCAAAACCAGTACTTGCACCAGTCGCAGCCTTAGTTCCAAATCCACCGAATCCACTCGTTCCAAATGAACTTTGTTGCTGTGGATTTGCAGTATTGAATCCTCCAAACAAAGATGGAGCAGAGGTAGTTGGCGCTGAAATGTTAAAAGCACCAAAGCCCCCAAAACCAGTGCCACTAATTGTACTGGTGGGTGCGGCTGAACCTAAGCCAAAGGCAGACGTAGATGCGATAGGAGTGGTGCCAAAACCTCCGCTACTTGTTCCAAATCCAAAATTAGTAGCTGGTGTACTGAAGGTGGTAGTAGCGGTAGTTGAAGATGTCACGCCAAAGCCAGTCACCGACGGTGTACCAAAACCAGTTCCTGTTCCAAATCCAGTCGATTGTTGAGTAACCGGTGTGCCAAATAAAGATGGAGTAGAAGTAGCTGGTGTACTAAATCCAAATGTCCCAGGTGATCCAAAACCAGCTAAATAAGCATAAATATTATTGTTAAGAATATAATTTATTAAACTTATATTTGAATACAAATTAACATCAAACGTTATTTAATCAGGTTTTATAGTGATTAGCGCAAAAAATATAATGATTTGATTGTTTTTGTCAATTATGGGACGACTACATATAGTTTCATACAATACATTCATATGTCAATTCAATTGCTAAACTTAAAAATAATATCACTGACAGTTTTAAAATAAAGTTAATGGTTATGATTTTTAATTATTCATATTACTAATTTTCAAAGATAATTTATTATAATACGGTGTACTTGAAATATTACAAATTAAAAAGTACTTACATTCTGTTTTTATTCTACTGTCAATAATTTCATAACTCTTTAAACATATAAAATTATATATAAAGGAGGAGTAATCAACTATAATAATGTCACAAGCAATTATAAACAAGGATGCTTGCTTAGATGATATTCCTAATGTTAACGGAAAGCAAGAAGAAAAAACAGAAATTTTTTAAATTAATCTTGAAGATAAATCAGAACCTTACAACCAACAGACGAATAAACTTAACTCAATGCAGGGCTCGCTGATCATCATAATTGCTACTTTGCTTATATGCATCCTCCTCATACTATGTTGTGTCACCCTATTTTTTATGAAACGATGGAAGGAAAAGTACCATAGTTGTTTACAAAAAGACATTGAGAGAAAGTGTCAAGAAAAGTGTGATGGGTCACGCAGGCCTCTACTAAGTCGAGACGACTCACTAGAATCTTTGTGTAGAAGCAGTAACAGCTCATGATATCTTGATGATACAGTACATCGAGTAGCGAAAGCTGATGTACTTAGAACATCAGTGTAAACTCCACAAAATAAAAAAACTACCTAGATTATTAATATTATCATAAGGACAGGTAGTTAAAAAGCATATTCAACGTTAATTTCTTTACCTAAGCTGTATGCATCGACAGCTTTAATAAAACTGTATATGATTCCAAAAAAAATAAAAGAAAAAAAAAAGGAACCTAACCTAAAAGTGCATCAGTAAGTCACCTGGCTTTATTGGAGTCGCAGCAGCAGATGTATTCGTGCCGAACGAGAAAGCTGAACCAGCTGCTGGTGTCGAGGAGCCGAATCCCGTCCCAAAAGACATATTTACAAGTTGATAACGCTAACAAATACAACAAAACAACTAACAATTCGATACTTTTCCCGCCACTTACGCACGTTTGCACACACAGCCATCAAGCGCACGAGTTTTACATCAGTCGCTGGGCGCGCGCGCGTGCGTGCGTGTGCGTTAAATCTACTTGCGCACGTACATTGTGTTATTTATGCCTGACGTCCCTGGTTATACTTCGAAGGCTGTGTCTACAATGGCGCAGCTCTGCATCTCGATCTGCTCGCTCATTCGCTTTGTTCTCTGATTTTCACACATTTCGCACTCGAGACAATCACTTGGCACTTGACTTGTGATCGCTTCATTCGCTTTGGTTATTCCATTCGATCATTTAAAATTGTCGCTTTTATAATCAAAATACCGTGCTTCTAATTGTTGACTTTACAACCTGGCCGGATAGTAAGGAAGCAGAAATTATTTGTGAAGTAGAAAACGTCCACACGAATAACTAATGGAGTGATTTTCTTTGTGATTCAAGTTCTTTCCCATTATCGATAACAATCAATTAAACAATTACGATATTGAGATACACTTATTATTATTCGTTGCACACGATATTTTACTAAAATCTCGTCTGATAAAAATGAAAATTGTTATTAATGTTTGTTTTGAAAAGTGTTTCATTGCATTTGATAAGAGCATAACAAGAGAAATAACTTTTATATTGATATTTCTATTCAATTAATATATATAAACAATATAATTTATATACTTAATCTTTTATGATTATAGTCTCCTTGATGTTTTACAAATAAATTATATGACATTTCATAATAAAATATATAATGTAGTCTGGTCTTTTGAATATATAGTCGGCAAAAGGAAATGGATTGTCAACGAGTTATTCTCGTATTTTATTAATTATTTTAGTAAAAAGCATCGTCTCCGCTTGTACCCGAAGTCAAATAGTAAAAAGTTTTTATGACTAATGTTTTAAGGTAAAATTTACGCTTTCTATACCTTTCGAATTCAATGGCGTCACTTGTATTTGTCACTGAAATTTATTTATCCTAATCAAGAATTAATGGTAGCGTAAATTTTTGTCTTAATAGAATCGTCTTTGCGTTCGCCGATAATTAAACTATTTGTTACCTTGGTAATGAACAAAATGAAAGAATTAGATTTTAAACTAAAATAAATGTTACTCGTTAAATTGAGCGCCTATTTTTAATTAAATTCAATTTACTTGATTGTATTGTATTGTATATACTCTTTATGGATCGTCAGTTTGTTATTAATAATGAAGCATTGGCTAATAATTTGAAAAAATATTTTTCATTATTATCGTGACTACAATGCCTATACTACAAAAATAACAAACGGTAAGCACACTTTCAAATACAATTGGTTTATAGTGAAATGTGTAACAAAAAGTCTTCAATGAAAAAAGAAACTTTACACAAATTACGCAAATGCGAATTATTTTATGTACGAAGGCTGCAACGATCATTTGTCAAGTGTCTGAAATTTTCTTACCTTTAGCAAGTTCTTACACACAGAATCATTTTAATTTTTAACATTTGTTTTATATTAATATGCTTTAATATTGAAAACAATCATTTTTAGAGAATAAAAAGGTTTCGTTAAATTCAGACTGTAGAGTTTTGTCGTTAACATTTGTCAAGGTATATTTGTACAGATTTTTTTATTGTTTTAATGACCGTTTCGATAGAATATCATTTTTATAACATCGTAGTGATTAATTTATAAAATTCTCCTATTTATTGAAAACAAATCATTCTTAACACGCGATTATTTATTAGAGCTTTTAATTCTTATACTTTTGTTTTGTTTTTTTTTTTTTGTTTTTTTGTTTTTTTTTTATGAAATTTGTCAGTTAGAGATACAATTTGCGATTCAATTTTTAAATAAAAATACCTTTAAAATACAATAAAATATAAATATAAATTTTTTTTGTGAATTATGCAAAAGTAGTAAATGATTAAACTGCTATAAGCAAATTAAAATAATTTTCTTATTGAACATTATTGAATTTATAAGTAGACCAATACATTCTGTAACATTAATATGATAAATGTAACAACTTTTATGTTACTAAACTCACGGCATTATAAATTATACATAAAAAAAAAAAAAAAATGAGAGAAAATATGCTCTAAGTATTGAACGAAGGACTTTGAATAGTGAATAGAGTGACGAAAATCGTAAAGTTTGAACATCAACAAATCAATGAAGTCAAGGAAGAGTTGCATATAAATGTCGCCAAATAAATGTTAAACATCATACATAAGCCCTCGGTGAGCAGAGAATGAAGGAAATGGAACTTTCGGAATGGTTAACAAAGAACAAGAGTGTTGACATTATTGATATTATAATTTATTTAATGTAGTATAATTAAAACACGAGGCGAAGATCGTTAATATTTGTATAGCAGTCTACGAGCTTTTTTGTTAAGTAAAGCAACGTCTTACGTGATATACTAATTATCGAGCAAACTTTATACACACTTATAAATAAGAATGATCTTCAATTTTTCGTCAATACAACGTGTTCTCTTGAGTAATTTTACAATTATAATCTTCAGTCGCTTGAAAAATCAAGCGGTTCGTTAAACATTTTTTTACATTTTAAAGATATTCGTGTTTATCCGGCTCTTTTTTTCAACGATCCAAATAAATCTCGTGGTGTATTGTACATACATGTTACATTATATATTTGCGCTTGCGCGCTGTATGTGCCTTTTAATATGTATATATATAAATATTTACACATTCTACGTTAATATCAGCAATCCACGTGAATGTGTTGTTATGCAAGAGATCGCTCGGTGGCCGTTAAACAGCCCGCAGGAACATAAAATTCATATACTAATAAATTTACTCATAAATTTTTTTTTTTTTTTTTTTAAATACATTAACTAGATTGCGATCTTAAATCTTAGGTAATTATTTTGCACAAAACGGCGCCTCCTCATTCTCCAGTCTCAATATATAGGTTGTTTTCTTTATCCGTCGTGATGAAGAGAGATACACAGCATTTCCTTTATAATCATCTTTTGAAAATTGCCTGCACATATTCGCGGCAATAATTCGATATCTGAACTCGACTTATGGAACAATTACGTCAACTAACTGTCATGCTCAATCAATTTTTAAAATGTATCTTTATTCAATTAACGTAAAATATCGTCTTTCTTCTTAATTAAGTACTCAAACTTGCTGCACGGTAGTTTAAAATCATCGTGGGTGCGTAAAAAAATTTGACAACTCAATTAAACTATATAAATGTATAATGTTACACACAGATTTGTTGACATTACTATTGTTAATTGTTCGAAACCTTTGCCGAAGTCGTTTGCAAACACTTTACTTATGTTTAAAAAATTTTCAAAACTAATTCAAATAAATTGATTGTCTTACATACGTGATTGCTTATCTCACACACGCACGCAACACGCGCTAATGCACAGGCGCGCGCGCGCGCGCACACACACATCAACACTTTTCACAACTGCTTCTATATTATTGATAAGAAGTTTACTTTCGACGACAATTATCTCGGTACTATGCATTTAAAAAATTAAAACTTATCTAGATTTTAAAAATAAAACGCCAACAGACCTTCCATCTGAACGATACAATAACAAGTCACAAGTGCGCGTATAGCAACTTGCGATGTAATATTCGCATATTACGTGTGCGTGCATTTTGCCTGTTGTATGCTTGAGCGAGCGCATGCACATGTGCGTGGCATGTATGTATGAGGTGTTTATAAAAATCAATAGCTGTGTTTCATATTTTTGTTTCACATGTGCATTGAAAACATACATCGATCAATGGATAATTTTTGAAATAATGAAATGATATTTAAGCAAGGCACCAGAGGTTTAAAACAAAGGTAAAATCAATATTTATACATCTGTATGTGGGTTGTGAATTTTTTGACCTCGCCAAAGTTCGTCAAATATACGAGCTGACAAAGACTAATCTTGCTAAGTCCATAGTAAAAGCTTAGATAAGTTTTTAGTTTTTTGTTATTTTTGCTGTTTCGTTTAATCCATTGTTTTTTAATTGAAGTTATTCATATATAAAAACACATTGAAAATTATCCATTAAATTAAATCCGAATCTAGATCTCTTCATATAGATTTTTTTCAGTTCATACAATCTCATCTGCATTTGTTTAAGGCTTTCACGTGATTTTAGATATAATAAATATTTGTAACGACGCGCAGCATCAGAATTATATCAATTGGCCGAAGGGATTCGTTAAAAAGAGAACGATGTATCGAGGAATGCTTGAACAATTCGATTGCCGTATTGTTAAATTCAGGTGCTAAAGCAACATTTAGAAAACAAACAAAATTTCTTTTCTCTTGTATAATTGTCAAGGACCTGCTAATAGGGCCCCTTAAGTAAACTCATTTACCGGAAGCCTGTCCCTACGAATTAAAAAATAGCTAAGTATCGCATGTGCATGTAAAAACAATAACTCCGTACTTATCTTATCATTTTTCCCTATATCTCTCTCTCATCATAAATATCACAAGAACTTTTTCTTTATAATATACAGATTTGTTGCCGCGGTTCAACGAGTGCGTTGGTTCATTCAGCTGACTCTAAAAAGTGCCAAGCTTACGGTATCGTGCACGAGGGCGTGCGCGCACGCGTGCGCGTGTGTTTTGGCGTTGATTGGGGGGAGGGGGGAGGGGTCGGGGGGCAAAGGAGAGAGGGGCTG